AGAGCAGAGCAGAGCAGAGCAGAGCAGAGCAGAGCAGAGCAGAGCAGAGCAGAGCAGAGCAGGGAGGAAATACAGGTTGTAATAATCGATCCATACCTGTGAATATAACAGTATTAACTGGTGATTTGCCCCACATCTCCATGAAGTGAACCGCATCTCCAAACCTCAAAGAYGGGTGACTGGTGAATACTATACAAGGTGTTTTGTAAGAGCTGCTAAATCCATCTGCAAGCACAAGAAAAGTAAACACAACAATGGAGCTTGAATATCATTGAGCTGTCAATTAATTAATTAATTAACTTTGTTTATAGAAGATAACACTTGACAGTAATTTTAACAGATAAACTCGTGGTCCATTTGCTAAAAGTGTAGTAATGATGTTGCATTGCAAATGTTGCATTCTGCACACATTTTCCTATACCACAAATTTTCAAGTATCAYCYCCCCCCYYCCCCCAAACCAATTTTTRTCTTATACTAGTCTACTGCATTTTYCAATTTAATTCCCCTCTCCTCCCCCTTTCTCCTCAACCCTTTAAAGGGTGCTTCGTGGTCCTTGCATTTCATGAGCAGAACACTTCTTTGTCCTGTCTGGCTATTTTTCTATTCTCAGCTCTGAAAATTATTGGCATTAGCATGGAAAGATGTTGCCTCAAGAAAAATCTATTTTACGTACCATGTAAATTAGGAAAGTGTTTTAGTCTTCCTATCTTGACAAGCTGTTGGAATGAAAAAAATCTTTAAAATAATGTTCTGCAATTGTGCACATCATAATGGATGGATGGATGGATGGACAGACAGATGGATGGATGGATGAATGAATGAATGGAATTACTACATACCTCGGCATGAGGAAAGGGAGGTTCTGGTAAATAAACCTTAGTTTGTTTACTTTGGCACAACCTGTAGGAAACAAAGAGGATATTCCAACAAAATAGAGGACAAACATACTATGCTAGTACATTTGTCATCATTCATGGTCATCGGTTTGATCAATGGATCCTACTTATTGCCATTCTCTGGTGCTATGAGGGATCTGGTTTCAGAACAGAACATTGGGAACAAAAGCAAATACCCAACATGTCTTTCTCTGGTTCATGCCTGAGTGATTTCACCAACTAAACAGTTAATAACTAAATACTTCTAAGTGTGTTAGTAATTGTTTCACAGCAAGCATGCTATGTAGAGTAGTGTATCTGTTCTAAGGGCTTACCACTCAGCATAGATATTAGAATAAGCAAGAGAACTGTCAGCTACCGGGGATATAAAGTATATAGGTACAGATGTAAGATTAGCGCTGTCCAGGTAGGAGTAGAGACACTCAAACAAGTCATACAAGACACCCTGAAACAAGAATTTTAGACATGAGAATCAGTTGAATATTTTAAATTAGAAATAAGACCAAGTAGACTATTGTGATATTGCAGGCTGCACACGTAGTCTGATAGTGCTGTGTGCCTTGTTTGTACCCTGCTTACAGAGGTCTTTTTCTGTCCTTTGTTCTGGCTTTAAATTGGGGGAGAAAGAGAGCAGCCACAGGGGTTTAACAAACCAAACCTGCTCAGAGACTATCCATGTCATTCCAAGTCATAAGAAACACAAAATTTACTCTGAACACTGATCTGTACATACTTTTTGCCCTAAAAAAATGCTCCTGGTATATAAAAGATGATGATACTTACAGAAGGATAACAAGGAACCAAGACATTTCCTCCATTTCTTAGGGTGGTAGCTAGAAACAGACAGAGTAAACATGAATAAACATGAAAACTGTGACCATTGTTATCTTAATGATTACTATATTACATATTCATTCATTCATTTATATTTTTAACATTTTAGAGACTATTTTTTACATTTAGTTTTTTTAACATTTAGTTTCTTTATGTTATTTTTAGCAGGACCCCAATTGATAACAGCATTATTGTTGATGGGTCTTTATCCTGCATAAATATTCATCTTATTATTATTATTATTATTATTATTATTATTAATTTTTGCTTGTTTTCATTCATAAATCTATCCATCTATCTATTTAGTCATTTTATCAGTCACTCTTAGTCATCCATTCATCTCTTTATTCCTTCATTCATTTGTTTGTTCATTGGTTYGTTCATTCATTGGTTCATTCATTGGTTCATTTGTTGGTTCGCTCATTCATTCATCCATGCATTCATTCAGTCATCCATTCAACCGCTCACTTATGCACTTTCTCATTTTATTATTYATTCATCCATCCATTCAAGTAAACATCTATTACTGCTCAGCTTACACAAGTGTGTACAGAATTCCCCAAGCATGGCATCAGGGTTCTGCGTTGGTGCTTCTGTCAGTCCTGTAGCAATGACCACATCACTATTCTTCAGTGGTGTCTGATCCAGAGGCAAGGGATGTGTTGTAAAGGATGATGAAGAAGATAAATAGGAAATCTAAACAGCAAAGAAAGCTTTCAAGATTACAACAAACATGCAATAAATTTGAAAAAAAAAAAATTTATTACCAAAAGAGCATTTTCACTCATGTGACAAGGCAGCCATATTTGTATACCAAACAATACAAACTTTCTGCACATTTTTCGTATGAAGATGGAGTTAAATTCCCTGAGGATAGAAAATTTATTGTTTTGGTACACCAACATGGCCGGTGTGACATTGTGTGAAAATCCTCTATACCAAGTGAACATGTATTCAACACCTGGTAGGCTCAGTTGGTTGGGCATCGAATGATTGTGCAGATAAGCTCATGCGTTCTGAAGCCACAATCAGACTAACAATCAGGGTTGAAATAACTAAGATAAATGTGCTGTCTTTGTAATTACATCTACCAATGGTTAGATCATCTTTGATAAGGACATTAAGCCTTTACCCTGACCCATACAGTAACAGCAATAAGCACTGTYTTCATACCTTTTCATAGTCTGATTCCACAATCCAGTTGCAGCTTCCCAAACAGAACCCTGAACTGAGAGCAGTAAGACGAAGAACACCAAAAAGATCCTTGTACAAGAAATAAATTGAAATAGACAATGACATTATTTAGTTTGCAGCATATTTATATCATTGATTTATATATTRTATATGTAATAGTATGACGTAATCATATGTTGTAGTTAGGCTTGCAGTGCATTGTTGACTTGTTCTTCCCCACCAACTACACGTGGGCTTTAATGTGTTAAATACGGAGTACCTTATACAGTTCAAATATACTGCTTAAACCAACCATTCTTATTCGATAGTATTACAACAATATCAAGAAAGAAATGTACCATATACCAATGAAACAGTAATGATGAAAAGGTAAATTATACACTGTGAAAARATGAAAAAACTTACTGACGTTTTGGACGCTAGTCCTTCGTCCTTCCTCTTTTACTCCGACAAAGGACTAGCGTCCGAAACGTCAGTAAGTTTTTTCATCTTTTCACGGTGTATAATTTACCTTTTCATCATTACTGTTTCATTAGAAACACCGACGCAGCTAACACTAGTTTTTAGCTAGTTATATCTTTTTATTACCATATACCAAATGAGTTAACTGAAAATCTATTCACTATACTTACTCACCAGTTTTTCCCCATAACCAACACTCTGGATCTTAGATATGCAAGATTTGACATCATGTTTACTATAAAACAATTATTATATTGTAAAACAGACAAACTGACTTGTAGCCAAACATTCTTAATTAGACTAGAATACTAAAGACATGGGTTTGAGTCCTGCTGAGGGTATTATACAATATTTTTCTCTTAAAGTTTATATGAATGCAGTTCACTTTTATTGACATTCTTTGCTTAGTTTTCTTATATGGCATTATTATTTCTTTTGGGTGAGACTAGTATTATTATTTCAGAGATCATAGTTAAGTTTTGTACAACATGCATAATGACATTTTTACCTGTACAATACTTTCCATGACTGAGCACTGTCACTTATTGATGATGGAAGACATCTAAAATAAAGTAAAAGAAAAATGAAGGAGGGATGGAATGAGTGAGCAAAGGAAAGAGAGATAGAGGGAGGAAGGATGGGAAGAAAAAAAGGGAGGAAAGGAGGGAAGGCATTTGATTCATATATTCAAGATGTTAATTTGCACATTATTTAAATAAAAAATATTATTAAGAAGGGAGAAAAATGATTAAATTGATAAATGAATTCATAATATAAAACATTAAACAGATGTGGGATTATATATACTTTAAGGTACCTTAACACATCATTTTCTTTCCACATGTTCCCTTTGCTGACCTTTGGAACCCGTTCAGCAAAATTCACCAGTTCAAGCATTAAATCTCTAGATATGAGATATAAAGAATGAAAACTTAGGGCCTCCTACATAAAKCGTAGTACTAGAATTGTTTTTCCATGATTGGGAAAGGTTTGGTACTGATTTCAAAGGTTTCAAAGGTTTTTATTTTTCCACACACAAAAAGCAAAGAATTACAAATAGAACTTAAGAAAGAAGTGGAAAGGTGCAGGAGGAACAACCCAAAAGGGGTTAACTAAGAAAGATCCTGCTCYAATGTAAACAATTTTAAAGAAATAGTGAATGGCGGAATATTATACTTACAGTAAAATAGCAAAATAGAAATCAAGCATTTTTAAGTTGAAAACAGTTACGGTAAAGATTTACATTTACAAGATAAATATAAGAACTTGTAGTTTACTGAGATATGAGGTATTTTTTGAAATTTGTACAGAAACTTTTAAGCGATAAACTATTTTTGATTTCAAGAGGAACATCATTCCAGTTTGCAACAGCTGCATATTTTACACCAAACTGGCCATAATTGCAATTGATTTGCAGCAAATGGTATTATTCTTTACCTTCCTATTTGAATTGCAGGTTCAGTAGCGTAGATTTTTCCAGAAAAACCTGAATACTGAAATCAAAATAAATTGAGAAATATATCATGTAATTGTAGTGCATTCAATTTTATCCTTTACTTTTACAGCTTTTAATTATTATTTAACTTGTTTGAGACTGACCTCTGTAATGTAAGGTAGAGCTTGCATAAAATGATAGTTTGATATCAGAATCACATCAACTGTAGAAAAATCTATCAAGCCAGCCTGCAATAATAATATCATAAACGAATAGAAAAAGGGTATTTTATTCTTTAATGTTTATTGAGCCAGTCAGAGAGCAGGAAAAATTCGTTTTGATGATCCATCCTCTGTTTATGTACGAGTTGTTAAAGAAACAAAGAATTCAGTATTAATGTTATAACTACGGGGAGAGGAAAAAGCCTATGGGAGATGGGAGAGGGTTTTTAAAAAATCCCCTGCTCGCAGGGTAATAACTACCATGGTACATACATGTATCTTACACTGTAAAATCACTTTTAGGAATTCAACTGCTATGATTGGTATCCCTTACCTCTGGAGGACAAACCTCTGGTTCAGAATCAATGAAAATCTTTCCAGATATTTCTTTAAGATTCTTTGAAAAAAATGTACTTTGATTAGATAAAAGTCACAACAATTACTGTGGTTTTCAATATTCTGCGAACTCCAACATTGCAACRGCTTGTTGTGAATTTGTTTTTTTGCTGCCGCCAGTCAAAAACATAAAAGGAACTGACTGATTATTTTTGATTGACAGCAACGATAAAACAAATTTAATTTCAGCATGCAACTTGCAACTACCAAGTTTGCAGAATATCAAAAAACCTCAGTAATGACTGAAGTCAAGATTGCTCTACTTACATTCTGTGAGGAGAATCCTTCAATGTCTTGTATTTCTCTTGATGTCCATGGGTTTAGTTTGCTGAATTGTTCACTAAAAATAACAGGATTMAAGATTATGAAACTACCGAACCTGTACTTTATCAAGACCTAATAAATATGACATCTCAGAATGGTAATATCTAATAACTTTGTCACTTTAAAAAATACAAAAGCAGTAAGAAACAACAACAAGGGGAAAAAACGATAGAAACCATTAGCCTACTTATTGAGAAGTAAAACGGTGTAAAATGGTTGATAAATCTCAGATAGACCCGTACGTAGTCTGAATTATTGAAAGAACAATGGTTTATCTAATATGGCTGCAATTCTTACATTCGCATGACTTTAACAAACGTACGAATATAGGAAGAGAAAAACACAACAGCTGTATGAAAGAAAAGCATATAAACATCAACTTACTTATTGACGAGTGATAAAGGTGTAAAATGATTMACACTTGACATATCCAATCCACAATCCATCATGATGGTCGTCTGTTTGAACTGAAGTACGAAACATGGCGAGTTTGGAGCTCGTCCTAAACAGTACTGGAAAAAACCGGGGTAGTTAATCAATTGGATGTTTGACTTGGGTAATTTAGTCTTCAAAACAGATTTCTAACTAAAGGTTTCAGGAAATTACTTACTAGTTTCATGTTGGCTACAAAAATTTGACTTTTTGAACGTGAAAAGCAAAAATAAACAGGCGTCGCTTATATTGCYCGTGAAAGACTAGAACCTATCCACAGGAAGCCCAACCTCTAAATGAAAGAGTTGGAGAGCCGTCTGCTTCACTAGTTAGCCTTCGTGTTAGCCCCCGTTGGCAGGTAATCAATCACGTGATATCAAGCTAGTTTGTCGTTTATCAGTGACCAGTCTTCTTAACACCGATTCCCAATCACACGMGCGTAATCGTACTTTTTTTCTGGGTCGACAAAATGTTTCCTTGATGGCACGGACGTCAAACAAAGTGTTTCCATGATATAACAGACCCCTTCACAGTTTCCTCCGCCATCTTGAAAGGTAGCCGTGCCTTTGCATCGAAGCGAGACGAACGGTGAGCATGCAAAGTTAGGGACCTTTTTTTTAACACCTTGGAAAATTATTCGCATGTCTTTATCATTGCAAGCTCATCGTTCGTCTCGCTTCGATGCAAAGGCACGGCTACCTTTCAAGATGGCGCAGGAAACTGTGAAGGGGACTATTCTCAGAGAATACGAAGTCTTCAAGAGCACGTACCTATGGAATGTTGTGAAAACGCCTTGATTGACTTCCACCAAARCTATGATTGGGAAGCGCTGTAATTCTAAGTCAGCAACATACTCAATGTAAATGTGCATTATGTTTCTTCAAGCTAATACACTCGAAAAAAAATTCTACTCCGTCCATAGTCGTTCTTGAGATATAGGTATACAAATTTATTTAATTATAGCATGATATACGTACATATATTGCAAACTGAAAATTCGGGGAAAGTTTTAAGGAATTGTTTTCTTGAGTAGAAAAGATTCTTTCAGACAGAATGAAATTTGACCATGACAAGTAAAACTAACGATCTGGAAAGAAAGAAGAATGTACTTTTTATAGCTATGTACAGAGTTCAGTTAAGGAGTCATGATCAAAGCTGYTTGTTTATGAATACAGAGTTCTTGATCACGTGCTAAGATCTTTTGCCTTCTACACGGCTGCTTGGATTCTTTACATCGCTATAGGCAACCATCTTGGTATCCTGTTTACGTGATACCAAACTTCTTCTCGATCTCGTCAATCAGTTCCAACTCYGCTTCATCATAAACGGCTAAGTGTTCTGGGGCAGTGATCCTTTCATCCAAGTTGTCCTGCTCTGGACCATCACTCACGTCTTCAGCAAGTGRTTGCGCATCTGTTGGAACATCCACGAACCGTACACATTTCTTTACAGCAACGGCCGTGGACTTGTCTCGCACAGCACGCACACGATCTRTGGAAACCTGTTGCTGTTTGTTTCCACCTTCAGGCTGCAGGTTCTTGATGATGTTTTCCTTGACAGCTGGGACCGCCTCGTTCAAAGGTCCCACTTGACTGGGAACAGTTGCTCGACCTCTCCTTGTCTTGGGGCGTGGTAGGTCGCATCTGTATCCTGCTCTATCTTKGCCAGCAGGAATGATCTCATCCAGYTCATATAAGAGCAGATCAGCAGCGCATGCGTCCCCCAAAAGTAGCTTATCCACCTCGACAGTCCATGTCTCGAGGGCYGTCTTTGTTTTCCTGCCGTCCCCAACGATGAGAGGATCWGTGTAAACTGGCATGCGCCAGATGTTCTTCTTGGGGCGTCGTGGTTTGTGTACRACSACATTATGATCCGTTCGAGCACAGTTCCTTGACTGATCATCATCTTCATTGGACTCACAGGATTCTTCAGACRCATTAGTTCTCTTGGGTTCTGGTTTGACAACATCATGGTCCGAGAGAAATGAAGAAGCCACTGATCCGGCTTCAGATGAGGCGTCACTTGTCGGCCATGGAGTGGAACTGGAAACCAAGGTTACCTYGCTGGAACTTGATTCGCGAAGCTGTTGATTTTGGTGGAGAAGAGAATTCTCATACGGCACAATGAAAGTACTGGTGGATAGTGGTCTCTTCTTTAGTGTTGGTCCATCTGAGGTGTTTGKAGTTGTTTCACATACTTCAGCAACCTCATGCTTGCTTGTGGCTGCCGGCACCTCCACCTGACAGTTGCTGTCGTTCTTTCCATTGTTTGTGTTCTTTCTCCCGAAGAAAGAAAATCGGTGGCTCTTGTTTTTGGCGGGAGATGACGTCACCGGTTTTCCTTCTGGAGAGACTTTACTTTTCTTAAACTGAGAAAGGCAATTTCCCATTTTCGTTTTCGTTTTCTATTTCGTTTTGAGAGCACAACTTTAGACACTAATCAAATTAACTTCAAGTTGATAATGAATCAATTACACGTCACAATGGATAATGACGTATTTAGCGCGCGTAGTTGGCGAATCGATTAACCTTATTTGGGAATCCACCACAGGAAACCCACGTGAACGCGCTCAGCTTGGATTTATTTTTACGCCCGCATTAGAAACTAAAAAAATGTTTCCTGAAAGTGTGAAAATGCATTAGTAAAAAATAGAAAAGTTGGAGGAGAAAATGTTTGACATAATTTGCATACTTTGCTGCACCGGGAATTGGATAAATGGAAAACAGAAATCGCTAAATCAAATGCGTACTCCAAAGTTCATTTCACAGCTTTAATGAATAAAGTTTTTTAATAAGTCCTAAATAACTTACAGAACAATAAATTATTATTAAYAAAGATGAAAGGTTTTCATAATTATTGTATATTATAAGATAGCTACAATTTACATGTAAGAGATTTAGTATATAGGCAATCATATGGTTTTGAGTACAATTTAGAATTAATTTATACACCAGTAGGTTTTTCAAGAGCTTCAAAATAGCTCGTGCCCTATAGACCAAATTCAAAACTCGCACCGATGTGAGGCTTAAGTTGTGAACAAAGGAATCTGGCGTGATTCGTAACTTTTGAATCACGCCAGGTTACTTTGAGTCACGCCAGATCCCTTTGTTCACAACTTAAACCTCACATTGGTGCGAGTTTTGAATTTGGTCTATAGGGTGAGTGATTGCTATTTAAGCTCTTCGAAAAACACACGTGTTAAAAATTATTTCCAAATTGTACAAGAAACCATATAAATATTCAGTAATAATATATATGAAAAATTCACAAACAATTTTTAATATACACTGCTGTGCAAATTACTTTTTACTGYTGTGTTATTGGTTAACAGCACTGTTCTCAGCCAATCAGAATCGAGCTATTTTTTCATGTACGTTATTGAGGAAGTTAATGAGTTACAAGAGTTAAAGTTTAGGAAAACTAGCTACTAATAGTATAATATATCTAAAATATGATTTTTTTTCGGAAGTAGAAGTATATTGATTTTTTTAGCATGCATGACTGCTAGCTTACACAATTGACTTTCGTTAGATAAATGTTTTTTAACGGCAGCGCGCATCTAGTCTGCGMAAGCAATACCGGTCCTTTTYCTAAGCAAAAGAGCAACTACAGARCTTTGGAAAATAGAGAGTATRTAGTTTAGAATGAGCGACGTTCAAAGTCATCTAGCGAATTTCATATGGTTCGCTAAACGGTTTCATAGACCATGATATAACGTCGTGGTTTAAAGACCTTCCTGACTAATATTCACAATTAAGTTTTATAGCATTTCTACGTTTAAAATCTCTGAGATTTAAAAGTGTTAAGTGCTTTAAGCGCGAGGTATATTTTGAGAGTAGAAAAGTTAGTCATCGATAGCATTAGTAATTATAATAAAGTGTTATATAATCACGCGCGCGAAATCGTACAATTTGCCATTGCGAGGAAGTGGGGTTTCTATGTACCTCAATAAAGGCGCTTCCATGACATTCCACAGCCACGTATAGTACCATTAAAAACTTGGTTTGATAATGCCATGCGCACACTTTGATTGGCGTCCACTGAACGATTTCACGCATGATTTGGAAGCACTGACTGCAAGAATGTCGTKTTTCTGTTATATAGGACGCCCTGTGTTTCATAATCTATGTCTTAGTATTTATGTTTCCTATTGTATATAAAATGATTACCCGAAAAATGGTGATTACTTAGTGTGGACAATTTTATACAGGATAAACCCATCACAACGTGTGGGAGAAATACGTAATACCTATGCAATGCGCACGCGCACGATTAAAACCATGAGTACTCAATGATTGTCATGATGCGCATGCGCAGGAATATTTTTCTCTTATGACAAATTAGATGAGGCTTAGAAATCAGTTGATCATTTGGAGACGGAATACTTGATCTGGTTTCTTTAATCCAAAGCCAATCATCATTCCGTTGCCCAAAATACATTTTATAGACGCTCCTTCTAAACTCGAACCATCCAATATTCAACAGTCCAACGATGCAATATCTGGTATTTAGTTTAAAAACTTCGAGCAAACAACCTGTGTCTCCTTAATTTCAAAATGTTTGATTTTTTAAAAGATAAATCATTCTTATATTATCTTTGCGTAAAATAATGTTAACTGTCATTCAATGCTGCATCTTGCATTTGCATCTAATAAAATCGCTGAAAGAATTTCAAATAATAATCGTGAAATTGTAATGAAAATCTGTGCATTGCATCTTCTATTACTTGGAGCTTGTGCTTATTTTGTTTCCAAATGCTTTTCACCAATAATCATGTGATCTCTTTGTACCACGCCTAACTTTCCACCTTACCATCGTGATTGTGCCACGCCCATAGGACCATTTTAGTTAGTGCTATAGGTAACTACTATTGCCATCGTGTGCGCCACGCCATAAGTGTTCAATCCTCGTGGTTGTGCCACGCCCATATAAGTCAGTGCCTCCTCTTGCCATCGTGTGCGCATCACGTGTTAATGCCAAATTTTTCAATCCTCGTGGTTGTGCCACACCCATAGGTATTGTGTGCGCATCAGATGTGTTAACGACACGCCCAAAGGGTTTAATCTTCGTGATTGTGCCACACCCAGCATCTGGGTGAATATGATAATGAATGTGATTTCATATTGGATTTTGTTCTCTACCGTACGCAGTAGTCTGGTGAAGATGGGTTGATAACTCGTACATCCAAGGATCGATTGATTGATCTATTAGCCGAATCATGTCCATGAAGACGAAGAAAGACGTACAGCTTTCATTCAATGAATAATTGAACATCAGTGAACCAGAAAGAGATAAGCGGGTATTAGTAATAAGACCAAGAGTTTCATGGGTGATAAGGTGGCTCCTGATCCACATTCAGTTGTTTCCTGTAAAAAGAGAGAGAAAATGGTGTCATCTTTACTCAATGTCGAGCCCAGAGTCTTCCAGCTTTATGGTCAGCGGGTTAACGAAAAAGAATGAAGGCGCTGAAGGACTCTGGGTATGAGATTTATCTTTGCCATGTTACGACGACTAAATGATAAAAGAATTGAGGACGAATGGAAATGAAAAGGGAGAGGAAAAGGGAGAGGAAAAGGGAGAGGAAAAGGGAGAGGAAAAGGGAGAGGAAAAGGGAAGACTAAGACGAAATGTAAAGACATTCAGAAGAAAAGTATCGAGGGGAGGGATGATATATTACATGATAACATTATATTTTAGTAAAAATGCACAGGTGATTATTGAAAATCTCGCGCGCTGACTGGTCGAGAAACTCGCACTATCACACGATAATCACCTCCATAATCCAAAATGGCGGCCAGCCGCTTTGTTGCTGTTACCGGAGAGGAATTAGAAATTTTAATTTTAAATGTGTCTTTAATCTTCTTTTCTTTTTTTTTTTCCTCTCTTTTTTTGAAAGAATAACCTGTGTATTTATACTAAAACAATTATTTGCCTCAGCCTCAGTGAATATCGGTAAATATTCCCCGTTGTTAAATATTATGGCTAAATAGCCTTAGGMTTCGTCCACACTGTTGGATTTTGTTTGATCGTGTCAGTGTGGACACTATGAAAGCCGACGCTAGTAAGTGTAGACACGAAGATTTCGAAGTGTTTTTGGTGAGACAAAAACTGAAAACGCATTTGTGTGGATGTGACCTTGATGTAGAGCAGAATGAACCAAATCCACTTGGGCGTAACGTTTTGCTCATTTCAGACCAAGTGTTACTCTCTTGAGAATAAGATTCTTTGTTTAAGGTTGTATCTATATTCATGCGTCTTCTCATGCACAACCGTTAAACAAAGAAATTATACTCTAGGAAATGGCACGTGGTCTGAAAGGGAAAACAATGGATTACATCTAAAAAAAAGATCAATTATAAGGCTAACCTGTGGCTAAATATTCACTTACGTTTGCGTTAGATGCATAGCACTTCAACTGTGGTAATCTACGATATCTCTCGGCAGGAGCAATGAAAGGGACTGACTCGACTGCAACAGAATATCAACAAGTACAATCAGGGTCTGGTTGTACGAAGGGTGGAAGGTTGGATAGCGCTATCCGAGGGATAAATYCTTACTCAGTKGATAAGTCGATGCTGTTATCCAWTAAATTTCTCCRCTGGATAAGGAATTATCCATCGAACGATAGGGCTATCCACYCTTCATACGAACGGGCCCAGTATATTTTCAAGCCATTGTTCATTTTGAGACCAGTGACTAAAACAACGGCCCAAAACGGGAGTTTTGGTTCATTAGTTGAARTATCAATGAATTTGATTGTCAAAAGTCTAAAATAGTCCCCTTTCTCATTAGATGCATACCGCTGCCTTTTATGACCACAGGCTCATTTGTACAGGTTTAGCCTCGTTTCTAAGTCAGTTATTCACAGATACCCTTTAAAGTCCGTGGGATTTCAGAACATTTAGTACATCCAACATCTATGGATCGCATACATCTTAAAACAACTGAAACAAAAATCTGTTATAAAGAAAGAAATATCATTCCTTACCCTGCTYAGGCTCAGTTCTGATGGATTTTTTCCCTTTACATTCGCAATTCTTGACAGTCACCAAGAAAAGGTTAGTATTGTCGACTGGAGCCACGCTAAATGGTCTAAAACATATATAGATATCGATCATAAAAATGACTGACTGAATGGAATGGTCTGAAAAWATATATAGATGTAAATTATACAAATGACTGGCTGAATATAATTGGTTCAACTTCGTGCTTAACCAGGTTACACTCTTTGTAATAAGATTGCGTATTTGCGTGTGATCTTATGTGATCCATGTATCTTGTCAAACGATACTGGTAGAGAAAGAAATAGAATTCAAGGGAATTCCACTTGGTCTAAAATGGGCAAACCCAAAATTAACACAGCCTAGTCAACTTACGAAAGACARCTGTCATCATTTGAACAACTAGTGGTATCTGCAAAGAAAACAAAATAAAAACGCACAACTTGATGTGAATGTCTATTAAAAGCGTTGAGGTATATAGAGGTTATTTACCGGCCAGGAGGACCAGATAGGAAAAACTGTACCTCAGTTTTTAGGTCTCAGCAAGAGGTTCGTTTTCAAGACCTCGGGCACAGTTTTTCCCTATGCGGACCGACTTTAGGCCGGTTTTAGGCCAGTAAAAAACTTTTTTTCATTTACTTTTCCAGTTATTTCTAAAATCATGTTTTGTTGTTTAGCAATCCTGTTTCCAAGGATACCGGACTGCAGTGAGCCAGAGAATACCGCCCCATCCACTGTACAGCCAATCAGAACCACGTATATCCAGGTGATTTGGAATCTAGGCGCGCAATGCATTGTTAGTCACAACAAAAATGTTCAATTTTTATCAAGCCGAAAYCTGGAATTAGGAAATATTGAGCTACGAGCAAAATGCTCGCAGATTGGCTAATTCGYTCAGGCTGAGAGAAGCGAAATCACCTGGCCATGTGTTTGTCAGTGTGCACGTCCTGTACTACGAACCCTCCATGGATAATAAATCATAGTTAATATCATAGTTGGCTTCCGTCTTACCTAATGCATATCCTTCTGTAAAATACTGACTTTTGGGGTTAGCTTTGAAGAACGGTATATTCATTGTACAAAAGTCCTTTTCAGAGGCTTCTTCTTCAGCCACAGCTGCGCAAACGAATAAAATAAATGCTTATTATAATGTTTTGTCCTCCAAATCCAACTTTGTTTCGAAAATAGTATAGAGCACTCCAGCATATTCTCAATGCAGCTCAACTTAGAGGAAAAGTCTCCTTCTTTAGATGAATAGCCACTTATCAAAGAAGGGTTATCAAAGAAGGTCATTCTCTCACTCGCCAACGTGCTTGCTTGCTTCCCTTGCTCATCATTGCACTCTACTTACTACTGTTCACACCTGTGTACATACCTTGTGATTTTCCAGAGAAGAAGCTAAAAATATTGAACTGTACAAGGCTCCTGAAAAAGAAATACGAAGAAAGACATTAAACATAAACTCATRTATATTATGCGATCAGCCCCCATTTAGTAGGCATTTAATAACAATGAATCATCCATAGAAGGCTTTTTATTCATTTACACCACACAYTTGACAATAGGCCGGAGGACACAATCACCTGACTGTTACTGGATGGCAAARAAATCCGGACAACCCCTTTTTGAAGAACTTTTGCTGGATTTTTAATGTCATATCCTAAACCTTTTTCAACTGAAAACATTTTAAAGCATGTTTGCCAGTGAGCGGAGCCTTCCCCTGTGACTTACCAGAAAAGTGTCTGYGTCATCCAGGTGACGTAGCTTGACACAGCAAGAAAAGGCTGTAGGGAAGGAATGGGTGTAAGTCTTTATTACCATTAACTACAATTAGAGAAATGAAACAGTGAGGGAGGGAATGGAATGAATGAATGAACGAATGAATGAGGATAAAAGAAAGAAAGAACGAACGAAATGAAAAGAACTAAATGAAATGAATTGAACAAACACACAAACATACGGATGAATGAATGAAATGAAATGTACAAACATACGAACGAATGAATGAATGAAATAAAATGAACAAACAAACAAATGAAACTAGAGATACCGTATTTACTCGAATAAGCGCTCCGGCGCTTATTAAATTTTTCACGTCTAGAACGGGGCGCTTATTCGGGGGAGGCGCTTATTCGAGGGAGGCGCTTATTCAATGGGAGGAAACGCGTACACAACTGTCAAAGTATGCTTTTCTTTAAATATCAATGTTATACTGCTACAGCAGTACTGGTATTAGTATACTATAACGAGAAGAAGCGCCCCCTAAAGGTGCGAGGCGCTTGTTCGGGGGAGGCGCTTATTCGAGTTAATACGGTAACTCTCTTTGTCTACAAAGTGCCAAGGGGAGGGGAGAAGGAAAGTTAAGAACTAAACTCTTTTAGCTATCCATGAGAGTAGAAGGACCAAAGAAGTGGCCGCTATGTTGGTTGATATTATGAAAGAAACCTAGATCCGATGCTTTTGTCAGCCAGCATGGCGACTACGACGTCACAAGCTGTCCAAGATTTAATGTCCACTGTAGGTAGCGTTTAAGGATTTCTATGCGTGGCTTTTTTTCAATAGAGCCTTTGCACCATCACGTGATACCAGCCATGACAAGATTCAGGATTCAAGACTTTGGTCTAATCTGATTTACATTAGCAAAGAATGAAGTTTCCCAGGGAAGAACGACTCTGTTGTTGTCCCTCCTGACATGKCTGCCATAACGTGATGGTGCAAAGCCTCTATACTATCACCCTATACATGGGCAGATCTAGGAWTYTGTGTAGTGGGGTTCACAGAAGTAAAAACATTCATTTTCTTGACAATTTACAATATTCAATGTTTAAACCAATGAACTCATTCCAAGCTAGAAGGTGGGGGAGGGGAAGGTAGGGGAGGGGTGATCGCCAACCTGTGACCTCCCCCATACTACTCACATTAATCAGCCTCATGGCGCTAGAAGTCCCTTCTGATTGACTCTTGCTGCATTTGAACTGTGTGTCGTTGAAGGTAAACCTGTAACAAACAAAGAATTACTAGATTAACTACAGTACTGATCTATTGAACTGAATGTCACGCATAACGAGAGAGATAGAGACAGAACGGACAAAACTACGAACACCTTTTAAACCAATCAGTCACAGCGCGCAAGATGTTTGCCCAACCAATAAAAATTCTCAGACCCGTTACTTTCATATTTGTAGACTTTATTGTTAGTATTTAGAATATATCTTCTTGTCTTTTAAGTCATTATTTTCCCGGATAAGTAGCAGTATATGCTAGAGGCCTAACAAGGTTCATGTAACACCGAGGGTAAGTAAAGTTTATCTATCTCTCTATMTTTCACGGTTACGGCACGCCACGGCAAATCTGTTTCGTGAGTTTAACCCCTATTAAAACCTATAGGATTGACCAAATGAGCTGACGGTCACGCATAATCATAGAGAAGATGGTGTATAACCGTATGATACGTTCATCCATTTACTATATTTTATTGAGTCCAGCTACGAATTAGAGCCATTCTTTTAAGGTCACTCAAGCGAATGGACTACTTCGACGATGCGGCGGCCATCTTGAATCACAAGGCATTGTGGGTCATCCAGGGTGCAAATAGCTAAAGCTTTGTTACAAGAATTACGGTTAAGATGACAAGAGACGAATTCAAAAACATGGACAGTCACACAACTAAGGAAATTTCTCATTGGGTGTTCATTTTCAGCACCTATGTTTTGTTTTGCCCCCTGAGTGACCCATAATGCCTTGCGATTCAAGATGGCCGCAGCATCGTCATCCAGTAGTCCATTGGGAAAGGTTTATTACAGCGTATAATGTTACCACTGGCCCAAATAGAAACTTTACCAAGACAATGCCATGGTATGGAGTCCCATTGAGAGCAAGATGGCCAGTATATTTATCATGACTTACTTAGTAAATAGTGATATATTAATCATCTTCTGCATGACTTGCCCATGTACAACACCAAAATGCTTACCGACCTGAGAGAAGAAAAAAAGAACACAACACATTATACACGTCACACTTTGTAGGCAGTTCGTCCAAAATGAACATGGTATTGTTCAACCAATCGCCAGCTGATCTGGAGTAGTGACGTAGAAATGACGTCAGTGCAAAACTGAGGTGTCATGAAACCTGTGAAAATTCACCAGTGAAAAAAGCATGCTTGCCATTGCAATAAAAAAACACTCTAAAAAATATCAATGTTAACAAGCGCTTATTAGCAACGTTATTTTTTTCATTTGGGGCCTCTGGAAATCCGTGATTTCAAAAAGAAACTAAGTCGATTCTGATTGGCTAACAATTTTCTCGGACCAGCTGGCGGTCAATGAAACGGGAAGCCATTGTGATCATTAGACCAACAAGAAAAGGAATGAACAAAAAAAAACAACATACAATYAGTAGACCTTTTCGGAGTGCGATAAACGTGGTGTTATAGTGTTCTAGCTTCGATACAAAAACCACAATATCTATATGTAAGGTGTGGCGAACAAAAGATGTTTGAACTCAAGCTAGACCACAATGCACCACGCTCGCGGCTCTCTCAGCGAAGGTCTGTAAAGACATCAGTTTTATACCTCAGATTTGGAATCATTTGTTGAAGAAGCGACGACATAGCCATCCTCATCGATAAGAAAGCAACTCCATTCCTGTGGAATACGAAAAGAATGGAACAAAATTTAAAAAAATTCAAAACCAGTTAGATAAATCAGAAAAAGGCGGGGAGAGCTGTAGCAGTGGTTAAGAACTTACTTCACTTGTTGTTTTGCACTCCTAAAAAGATCAAGGAAACACAGTCATTTAATACTAGTATAGTAAACACTATTAAACTACAGTRAACCACCTGAAGGCAGACACTTTGGAGGCAGCTCTTAGTGTCCGCCATAGAGAGGTTTCGTCACAGAGAATATGGGGCAAATTTGCCAGGCCCAGGCAAATTAAAGGTGTCCACATTAGCAGTTATAAGTACTGCCTTCAGATAGAATTTTTTTAGAATTAGTTATTATTTTTCAATCACACATTTTCGTCTTGATGGAAATGTCTGTTGTAGAACATGACCCCACCACCCCCACACCGTAAGCATGAAATATTCCATTACACCTTATATTATTTTTTCAAGTCATAAGAAGCCCCTCTCGTAACTCTACCACTATTTTGTTTTCCCTAACCAGCTCCTTGAGAACTGAATGTGACTCGGGTGTGGTGGAGTTTGAGGATGTGTGATCGTATTATACACAGGGGCTTCTCGTCTTATTTAGTATTATTGTTATTAACTTACCGAGTTATTTAACATAACCTCTTTCAACACATCGTCTTTCATTTGCATTCCAACCACTACAACAAGGAGGTTAAACATTAGTTACTAAATCAAAAGTTATCAGCAGTCATGTGTGACGCAGGGTAGGGKGGGKGGGGGAACACCGATAAACTAGTAGTCAAATACTAGTGACTATRATTCTTTGTTTTACGTCTACGTYATATTGAARTAKCAGCAGYCATGTGTGACGCAGGGTAGGGKGGGTGGGGGAACACCGATAAACTAGTAGTCAAATACTAGTGACTATAATTCTTTGTTTTACGTCTACGTCATATTGAAATAGCAGCAGCCATGTGTGACGCAGGGTAGGGTGGGTGGGGGAACCTGAATAGACCGTTTTCTCGAGGTTGCGTTTGCATCCAAATTTAAGGAACTTGAAGGGCACCTATACCAGAACACTAGTATTTTAATGCATTGCTATGAACTTTTTTTTTCGATAAGAATTTATACATTTGATTATAATCATTTTTAAATATATAAAACTGTCTTCTCAATTTTACTGAATTTGCGTTTTTCAGTTTTGTGGCCCGTCAACTTGTATGCGCACGCAACCTTGAGAAAACGCTCTCTTCTCTATTTTGTGTCTACGTTAACGAGTCTTACCTGCTRCCAGCGCTTTTTTGTCAACGTAAACAGAAGAACTCGCGGTCAAGATGATTGTATCATTCTGCTCATTTTGAACCCCTAGAAGAGAAAATATAATGTATAAAAAAATAAAAGATAAAAAAAAAAAATAATAAAAGAGCGGTAGTGTAGAGGTCTCGGGTTCAATTCCTAGACTTAGCATCACATATTAGTAAAGCTTGTTAGGAGTCTCTACCTTTATTCAAGGAATTTTTCTCCGGGTTATTTGGTTTAACTAACCCTGTAAAACCTAACACGCTAAATAGATATTCCGAGTTAGCCGTGCCCTGACTTTGAACAGCCCAGGGGTTGTTTTAGGGTTCGATACAATTTGAAATTCTGAAGGTACCTGGTGCCATGTATGGAGCTAAAACAACTACTTGGCTTGCACTGAAGTCCGCTGCCCGCTGGTAGTACGGCTCATGGGTGACGTCACGGTTAACCGGACTATTTTGCCTGAAAGAAAACACATTTGGTTAARAACTATTACGTAACACATTGTGACTTCACCAATTGTTATGAATACCAGAGATCACTTTAGGAAATGCCATTTTTTTAGGGGCCACAACTGGTCTGTAGAGCACAATATTCCCCTTTACAGTTCCTAGCGCCATCTTGAAAGGTGGACATTCCTTTGAATCGAAGCGAGACGTGTGGTCGCTTGCAATGATAAGACCTTTTTTGAAAACGTTGCACAAATATTCACGTCTCTATCATTGCAAGCTCACCCTTTGTCTCGCAGATGGTGCAGGGAGCTGTGAAGRGGACTATTGCCTATGAACATTTCTTTTCTCTCTTTTTCGCTCTTGGACTTAAATCCCAATATAGAGAGAGAATATTTGCTTACCCTGGAGCAAGTACTTTAGTAAAGCCGCCGCTAGTACCAACAAATGCGTTAAGGTATCCTCTCCTGAAAAATCAATAGAAAAAAAACTGATTATTTCGTCTGGAAATGTAAATAAAAATGAATGGTGCTTAAACTTACGTATCATTTTCTTTGACATCAAACTTAACATCCTCCAACTGTCCAGCATCAAATAGCAGAAGATCCAATAATTCCKGGTTACCTAAAACAGGAAAGGTGTTTTTAATTGAAAAAAGTGCAATAGTAACAAATATATATACATATTTGTTATTACTCAACCAACACAGCCAAACAGGTTTGTTTTTTGAGCATCCGTGTCCGTCGCTTGGACCTTGAAAGGGGGAGTTCGTTTTTCTATCAATCTTAGTTATTCCATTTTTTGAAAAACTAAAATAGCGCTAAACATTGTTTCGCGGGTACTACTACAAAGGTGGAGGCGGGGGTGGAGGCGGGGGGATGGAGGGGGAGTGGGGGCGGAACCACCCCTAGCGACGGGYCTGGCGCCATGTATCAATAAAAAAATACGAGTGAATTATCGCAAGCCAAAAATCCAAACGCCTCGAAAAAAAGCGAAATGTCTTGGTGACATAATTAAAGATATAGGTATGATCCATAACCTACATAGTATTGCAGTTGAAGCATTAAGCATAGCGAAATCCTCAGCATCTGCGTACATTGGGATAAAGAGGGGCTTGGTATTCCGTGCCTTGGGGATAATATCTTTACATATTTTCCTGAAATAAATGCGTATACATATTACTTATCAAAAAAAAAAATTGATTATATTGAACCTATCAATTTTATACTTATGGTCATTTCTTTTCTTTTCTTTTCTTTTCTTTTCTATTCTTTTCTTTTCATTTCTTTTCTTTTGTCTTGTTTTCATTTCTTTTCTTTTGCATTTCATTTGCGCTTCACTTCACTTCACTGCACTGCACTGCACTGCACTGCACTGCACTGCACTGCACTGCACTGCACTCCACTCCACTTCAATCCAGAAAACTTCCTTATAGGGTAGGCCTCTTCCCTTTACATTGACCGGACATTATGGATAGAGTGAGTTATAGAATGTATTGGAGAAGAATAACTATAGTTGGTGTGATATAGTGCACTGACATTTAATGCCATATTTTTTCTCACATTTTGACTCTGAATTTGGTTGAATTTGGTTACTTAGAAGCGAATAAGGGAATGAGGGCCACAGGCTTGTTAGCCACTGGCTATTAAGTGCTACCCTCGTGAAAAAAAAACAACAAAAAGGACGTTATCCACCTAATGACAGCCATTATTAAAACTTACCAAGGAGCAACCATGAGGATCTCGTCATTCTTGGGTTTGAAAAGACCTGCACAAGAGACATGTGTTAATATAGAGGTTATCACATAACCCAACGGTCATCTCACCACCAGCGTCTACAAGAAAGCAACCAACACGCACCAATACCTCGTGTACGACGCAAACCACCYATAGTCGGTAAAACACGGTGTCGTCAAGTGTTTGTATGACAGAGCGAGTTGCGTCGATACAAAACCAAACGTCAGTGAAAAGAAGCACCTGGCCTCGATCTTTTCTTGTAATGATTATTCCTATTCTTTCTTGCAGAATGTTAACGAGATCAGACTAACCAACAAGACGGATCAACCGCATTACAGAACCCTAGCAGTACTATCGTGCGTAGAAGGCGTTTCAAGACCCTACGATATAGCCTTCAAGATCATGGCATATGAACCGTCTTCAAATCAGAAACGACACTACGTAGCTACCTTAAGTATGTTCCAAAGACCCAGCCCCTCCTAGCAGACAAGACGGTGTTGTCTACGAGATTTCATGCAGCAAGTGAGAAAAAGTCTACATTGGAGAAATTCGAAAACCAGTCCAAGAAAGAATGAAAGAACACTCGAGAGACGTTGGTACGATCGGCCCGCTCAGAGAGCTCAGCAGTAGCCGAACATACACACAAGACCGGCCAGTGCAATGACTGGAGGGATGTATAGATTGAGGAGAACCCCATTTAGCATACACGCAGAGTCAAGGAAGACATTCAGTTGCGACTCCACCTAATAACATCAATAGGGACCGTGGTATAGAAATCCCTAAAGCATGGATACTAACATCACTGAAAACACTCTTTGGCGGGGACACAACTAGCCAACCACAGGACAAACTAACCATCCAATCACAACCTGAAGACTTGGARTCGAAAAGTCGCAGTCCTTTCTACAAAATATTTACCTGCTTTTACTGGTCGTTGACTTTGGTCTTTCGGTGTCAGTTTTTGCGCGCCGACTTCTGAAATAACGACGGCAGAGCTGAGAGGAAAAAAATTATTTAAGGTTAGATGCCTAGGCAACTTTCTCCTAGATAAACGAGAATCATTTTATTTTCAAATTGAAAGTGTTTATTGGATTATTATTATTGCTTACTATCAATCACGTGACTTTTTGGAGTCGACTGGGGGGCAAACAAGCGGTTCACTGGGGGGCAACTAGCGGATGTTACTGAGTCAAAACATGTCAAAACAAGTCCTCAAACTATTGTATTTGACTATTTTCACGACATCAAACCAGAAAACAAGAGATCAAAACAACCTCCAGGATTCTACAAGCCATCAAAAAAGAGCTATTACCGGAAGTGACGTCTATTGATAGCAACCTATTCGAGTTTTTTCTTATTATTTCTTAATCCATGTTTACAATCGCCACCCGGTTAGCTCGGTTGGTAAGAGAGTCGGTCTGCTGTGCGGCAGGTCGTTTTTCAAGACTCGTCTGGACGGATGGTGGCTCGGATGACCACGCTAATGGCGGTCCCGTCCCTAATTAACTAGAGACGTTAAAAGAGGACCACGAGTTTATCAGTTAAAAAATTTACTAGCTATTCAACCATTAAGGTGCAAAATAGTATTCACACAATTTCCGTATATTTTTTACCTTCTTGAAGTTTCTACTCCAATAATCGTTTACGCCTTGGGACGTGGGGGGAAGCCGGTGGTGGGTTTTGGGGGGAGGGGGAGTATTAACGTAGCGGCGTATAGTTGTATAGTTATTTTATGTGTTGACGAAGGAGGATATATTAAGAGACTTCAAGCCGATTCCAAAAGACATTCGTTGCTGAGATATCGTACCTGAATGAAGAGTCGTTGATGGGTGTATAGTAGAAAGTGTATGAACGTTCGGGACTGATTCGCTTCTGAAACGCAAACACAATATTTTATTAAATAAATGAGCGATATTATACGAGCACTCTGATTGGACGATCTGATGTCTTGCGCGTTATCAATTACGAGTCCACGCGAAAAGCCTCAAGTAAATCTGCGACCTAATGAGAAAAACATCCTCCACTTTTGGAAAGCGCAAATCTGCACAAGCAATGACGACAGAGCTGAAAAACTCCTACATGCGTAGATTTTTTTTCACATTAAAATGTCGACCACTCGCTGCCATTTGAGCTGTCTGCAGTCAACGAGAGATTTAAAGCGAGTCTAAGAGGTCAATACGATGCGCAACTGACCCAAGCTACTAACAACCCTGTCATTTAACCGCACTTTTCCTGCCGCCATGCGCGTCATGTTATTCTACTATACCCACCAAATCTTTTGATATCTCTCTGAGATCGAGCTTCTCCGAGCCTGTTTCCCTGTCTATCAGTTTTCTGGACAGCTACGACAGAATAGTCGATAGTTTAGTATAAAGAATCCTGATAGATATATTCGAAGCAGGTAAGTTTACTGGTGAACTTTTCGTCAATGAACATCATGCAATCATTTCTAATAATTCACATCCCCGCAGACACAGCGAAGGTGGGGGTGRGGAGGAATGGGGGTTTTAGCATCCCCACACTTTGGTAAAGTCTGAGCCCCTCGATTTGAGTCGTACATACACTTATCGACTACGCCCTAAAATCCCAGCCCACTTTCATACACTACACACGCAAGCCGCTCTGACGGGCTACTCCACGATCCTTCCATTTAGTATATTTTAGAGGTTATTGATTCCATATTTAGTGAGCTGTGCTGGTGGTTTGTAGTGTGGCAACTAGGGGTTTGCACTTACATTTTCTAGTTTTTCTTTGTACTGTTCCAAGTTGAAATCAAAAAGAACTAGGTTCGGTGGATCCTCCTTGATAAAATAAAAATCAGTAAAATAATTTCTTAAAAAACAAGCTAAAAATATTGTTAAAAGAAGTAAAAAGTGTACTTGTTCTTTCAGATCCGTCTAAACAAGTATTATTTTAAAGGTTAATAGTAAACAAAAAATGAAGTTTTTTTTTAGCTGTTCTGGTTTTATTGGACTTTCAATGAAAGTTCGCTACGTCAGAATGTGAGCGTAACATTTCTCATTGTCAGAATGTGGAAAGAGTTCTGGGGTGCTTAACATTTAAACCCGAATCCATCCGGT